AGCTGATTTGTTTTTTCCTATTTCATTTTCTTTTGCTTTGTGAAAAGAATAATGGTTTAATTTGTCCCTGAGGAAGGGAGGGGGGTCAGCAAAGCTAGAATTCTGTGTTTTAACCGTGTATTTTTACTGTGTGTTTTTAACCCATCTAATACACAAGCACAATGGCATTCAGCATGGATGTAATCTGAGGCCTTCAATACACAGAGGAAGTTTTCTCTTAGCTTATGCCCTGGGAAATTCTTATGGATGCTGACAGCAAGTTCTTACTTAAACATTAAAACTGCATACTTAGTAATAAATACACACATACACAGACATCCAACTTTATTATCTCAGGCAGACACACTCATATGTCCTATTGATTCCTTATACTATGGTCCTCATGCTTATTTCTCTGCCATCTTTTTCCCCTTTGCTCTGTCAAAGGGTTCTTCAGTTCTGTCACGGCTACTTCTTAGCTATTGCTGCCATGACTTCTCCCTTTTCAGTGATTTCAGCTCTCTTCTGATCTTCCTTCTTCCTCTCCTGCTTGTCCACCTGCTCTTCTATTAAGTGACTCAAGCTTATCAGCGCTCTGCCTTATATATAGGTTTTGGCCTATTCTGATTGGTTATTTCCTCAATCCTTATCATTAGCATACCCTCCACCAATCATCTTTAAGCCTTCCCTGATTGGTCTGTTCTTCTGAACCAATCACAGTTGCTGAACTCAGCTCTCAATCAAAGCTGGACCTGATTGAAAACCTGTGCCATGCTCGATTGAACTTTCCCTTCAGGTTTTGGAGTAACCTTTATTTCATCTTAGCCTGCCTGTTTCCTATAGGCCGAATTATTCCAAAACCACCATCTTGTTATCCCTAGCTGTAACTGCTTGAAACTGTCTTTATTAATTATTACATCCTTATAATTATAAACAATTACACATTTATATGCATTTTAACATTAGGATTCACTGTCACCACTCCATTTTTACTAATTTAAATAAGTTTAATTTTATCTTTCCCTTGTTTCAGCTAGTGGTGGCAGGGCAATGTTCTTAATGCTGTATTCTTGACACAGAATAGAGCAGCTGAAAAATCTCTTGTATAGGAGGGGGAATACTGATTGCAGTTTACCTGGAAGATATCGCTCATGGAGCTTCCCCCATGTGTCATGACTACCTCTTGCAGGTGTCTAGCTACCAACATGCCAGGATGACTCCTTCATCCTAATAGGAAAGCTACAAAATGTTACTCCAGTAGAGGTCGCAGGATGATATGGAGGGTCATTTTGTATTAATAAGTGAAGCAAAGGGCTAAGTAAAAATAAATCTTTAAAAAAAATCTCACCAAATACCCTAGTTGATTATTAGTGTAGTGTAGTTATATTAAACACTTCATTGTTGCATTTGAATAGGACAAACGTAATGGAAGTGAGCTTCTTACTTCATAGAAAAAGCATTGATTTTTTGGTATTTATTACTCTGTTTAATATGAAAGATTATATAACATAAGTTATGTGATTGTGTAATTTGATATTCCCAGTTACATTATTGTGATTCTGAAAGGTATGTACGTATTTACTCCAAATAAAGAACCTTCTACATGGGGAAAGGCAATCAGTATTCAGTGAGTAAAAGCTGTTGACACTGAAAACCATCCCAAAACAATGTCTTTCGTGATGTAAAGTTCATAGAAAAGGTTCTGAATTTGAGGCTAGAAGGAGGGATGGGTGGAGAGAACATAGTGTTCTTAAAGAAACATGTTTTGCACAGTTGAAGAGTTATGAACCATAGTGCATAGATTAAACCACATATCCTAGTTTCTAACGCCTCTTAATACTTACCATACAAGACTGTTTCAGAAACAGCCAAAATCCTATTCCACTCTGTGGGCCTGAGCCTCGTCTCACGTACACTGGTGTAAATCTGGAGGGCCACCAGAGATTAGCTGAAATGATGCTGAACACAGATGCTCATGAGATGAGACTCGGGTGTCTGTGCTTCAGACTGTGATCTTATATCTACATCAGTTTAGGGGTAACGCTTAGGTTTAAAATGGCAAGACTGACTAAAGGATTGAGTTCTAAAGAAAATCTCTCTTGGGAACAGAATATTTTCATTTGCTTATGTGCCGACTAGAGATGACGACAGTATACATATAATATTGATAAGCTTGCTGAACGTCATTTGAGGAAAACACTTACTGTATGCTTCTTCAGTAAACAAAAGATTTTTTTTTAAATAGAAGAGACAAAAGCAATGAATAATTATACAGAGAAGGAATGCAAAGGCAGCTTTGGTACATTTTCCTTGTAATGCATTTTCACTTAGCTTCTGATTTGTGTATCTGTAGAATAAAATAATAATTAGCTCAGGGTTTGTGCTTGAAATCCTGCATTTTGAAAGATGTTTTCAAAACAGAAACTTTTCCTAAATATGATTATAAGATCTCATATTTATTTGGCAAGACTGTAAGTCAGGCATTCAACCAAAACTGCCATGGCCTGTTATTAACCAGTATAGTTGGAGAAGAGCTTGACCAGCTGTGTGCAACATTTTATAAAGATAAAAGTAGTCATTTTGTTTGGTCCTTTTCCCTGGCAAAGGTGCATAATACAGAGCAGTATGACGTTCCCTGGGCATGCCATTCAAGTGCACATTATCAACTGTAAGAAAGATTATTGCTTGTGGCAAACTTGAGTCTGTTATGAAGATTACATTGGATTATAGATCGGTTTTTTTTACATCTTAGCTGTATTAAAAGAAACCCCACAATGAACTCAGTTAAATGTAATGCAAGGTTTTTTTTTCCAATTAATGTTTTAATGGAAATATTTAATGTTATGTTGTTTGCATGTCAAGCCACAATTAGTGATTTAGTACATGACATTGGGAAAGCCTGATTGGTTACACCAGAGAATTGATAGAAAGTGAAGACTTTGGTACATAACTGATACTGTGCATCTGCATCCAGTATACTGTGCATTATTCTACTTTGGTTTCTCTGAGTATAATGGAAGTCTTTTCAGTGAATACCTGATAAATGGATAAATGTTAGTGATAAATGCCTATCTACTGAAAGAAAAGCCCAACTACGAAATGATCATGATTCTTGTTCAATGTATAAATGTGATATGCATCAGTTATAAATAGGGTTGTCAATAAATGGCACTTAACTCAAGTGATTAACTAATAAAAATTAACTTAATTAAAAAAATTAATTGCAATTAATCGCAGTTTTCATCTCACTGTTAAACAATAGAATACCAATTTAAATTTATTATAAATATTTTTAAATGTTTTTCTACATTTTCAAAATATACTGATATCATTTACAACACAATACAAAGTGTGCAGTGCTCACTTTATATTATTATTTTTATTATAAATATTTGCACTGTTAAAAAGATAAACAAAAGAAATAATACTTTTAAATTCACCTCACACAAGTACTGTAGTGCAATCTCTTTATCATGAAAGTGCAACTTACAAATGTAGATTTTTTTTACATAATTGCATTCAAAAATAAAACAATGTAAAACTTTGGAGGCTACAAGTCCACTCTGTCGTATTTCTTTTCAGCCAATCACTCAGACAAACAAGTTTGTTTACATATACGGGAGATAATCCTGCCTGCTTGATTACACTACAGTACTTGTATGAGGTGAATTGAAAAAAATACTATTTGTTTTGTTTATCTTTATTACAGTGCAAATATTTGTAATAAAAAAATAATAATATAAAGTGAGCACTGTACACTTTGTATTCTGTAGTAATTGAAATCAATATATTTGAAAATATAGAAAACATCCAAAAATATTTATATAAATGGTGTTCTGTTATTGTTTAACAATGTGATTATAACTGTGATTAAGTGTGATTATTTTTTTAATCTCGCGATTTATCACAATTAATTTTTAATCGCTTGACAGCCCTAGAAATAATGAAATCCGCTAGAAATAGATGTGCGCTACATCCAGACTGCTTTGCACATTTTTTTGTTCAGTGATATCTTCCTTATGCTGATTAAACTGCCACTGTAGCTTGTTATCATAAACTTTTGTAGTTACACAGTTGATTAAAGATTTGATTTAAAAAATGGGAAAACTTGCTGGGAAAACTCTGAAGCAAACTTAATTCTGTGTACACTTAATATTTGTGCTCTGCAGTACAGAACTAATAGGATCAAGCCATTGCAATAACCCGATTCATAACACTTTTCAATCCTACAGCATTAATAAGCTATGTTATGACTCTACATATAGAGTGAGGTTTTAAAAATCATTTTTGATGACCTGTTGCAGTTGATTATTTACTGTACTTTTCCCTAGCATTGTCATGTTTGTTTTGCTTAGGATTTCATTCAAAGAGTATGGGCCAATGATTAGCCTAGAACTTGGGAACCTAGCTTCCTGGCCCTGCTCTGCTACAAACTTTCTATGTGAACTCGAGCAAGTTACTTAGCCTTTTTGTGCCTCAGTTCCCCTTTATAACATGGAAAGATTGTGAAGTGCTCAGATATTAAGATAATGAGGGCCTTATAAGTACCATAGATAGATTCATTCTGAAATGTTTGTGGGCAGAAATACATAAGGCAAAATTTCCCAATCTTTGCTGGAGGACAGTAAAGTTTAGGTTTTTCCTTCATAAACCATAACTGAAAAGCAATTTTTTGGATAGTTTTAGCAAGAAAAATGTTATGGAGGGAGATTTTATAATGGGCATCAATTGATTTGTGAGCGACTGTAGAACGTAATAGCCTGGTCACACTGAACTGAAGATGAGTCAGGCAGTGTACTGAATTAAATTGTTAATTATTTTATCTGCATTAGTCAAAAGATATCAGTGTTCAATTAAGACTAGCCTGTTATATTGTAATAATAGCATCCTTCATTCTTACAGTAAAGTGCAATATAATACTAAAACTAGACCACATAGAGAAAGTTTTAGCCACCACTTCTCTCTCTTTCTTCTTCCCTACAAAACGTGTAATCTTACACTTTGTGTATTTTTGTCAATAGCCAGACGTTTAGCCATGTACCAGGAAGCTGATTCTGAGGAGGAAGAAACAGCAGCTAAAGGAGGAACATTATCCCAGCGGAACAGTGTCAGCAGTCATCAGAGCATTAAGGTTGTCCACAGAAGCCTGAGTATGAAATCCCACCGACGCACCGGCAGCAGGGCTGAAGCAAAAAGAGCAAGCATTCTCTCCAAGCACACTGCATTCAGCAGCCCAATGGTTAGTTGTGAGCAACAAATGTGCTTTGCTTTGTATCTTTTGTATCAATTGCTTTAAAGGGAAAAGATGAAGAAATGTGTACCACATTGTGTACTTTTCATAGCTTTCATCTTCTTGGCTTTTTCTTTTTCATCGCTTTGTTGTTGTTGTTGTTGTTGTTGTTAAAACAACAAAGTATGCAGAGATCTTATATAAAGAGTCATCCCTCTAGGCTCCAAGTTCAGAAAGATAAACTCAAACCTTAGTTTTGGGTATTCCTTGATTTTCAAGAACAACATGTGTTTCATCCCTTTGTTTACAGCAATTGATGTTAGATTAAGGATTAAAATCAAGAGTTCTAACTGGCCTATGTATGCTATCTTAGTTTTTGGGAAGCAGTGATTTACAAATGCATGAATAGTAAGTACTGGATTGGGACCTGTGATATTAATATATTCAAATTCACACTTTAATTGCAACTGTAAGTCATTCCATAGTTTCAAGTGTAGGTGGTTCAAGATTATCATTAAATAGAGCAAGTTACATTAAAAAGCAAACAAACAAAAACGTCCTGCATATGCAGAAAAGTTAAGTGGAACAATGTTCTCATAATTTTTCCATGACTAATCTTTACATGTGTTTTTACATGTCATGTGCATGTTTTTCCTCCTGCAAATTGCTATCTCATTAATATTGCATGGTCATACTGCTTTACTCTGTTACCGTGTTTTTACATGGAAGCCAATGGAATTTTGCCAAAGTTAAATTGCTTTAATGGAGTGAAGAATTAGGTCCTGTATACTTTGAGAGTCTGCCCTAATTCCAGCTGTTGATGTCCAGTCAGCAATGAAGCTGCGTTAGTGCAAACCCCAAGTGTGGAAAAGGAAAGCTGCAATTTGCATTGATGGAGCTAACCCCAGGTTTAGTCAATGGTAAGCTCCATTCGCACAGCTTTCTGTGTTGACACACGGGGTTTCTACGGGTGCAGCTACCTCACTAGTTGTGCAACAATTGATGAAACTGGAGTAAAGTCCCAATAAAGACAATGCTTTAGGGCTCATATCTTTATGAAGCACACTTTGTATCTTTTCTGTAACCAGCATTATGCCTTCCTAGGAAATTGATATCTTTGCCCTGAAAGGAATGTAATAGCTGTTTAATCACAGTGGAAAACATGCCACATTTTGATTTCAGTGGCATATGAGCTTCTCTCAAGTTCAAAGTGGTTAAAATATAGTGGAGCTAAACAATTTCTTAGTGGTGCAAAATGGGTAAGCTTACTGTTTTGATGTCAGAACTAGCTCTTAGTTTTGTTGTCTTGTTTTTCATGATATAGGTCTATATATTGTGGCAGCCTACAATAATTCTCACAGGTAAGACCGAAGAGAGGAAGATATGTCAGGACACTACTCAATTTCCATTCCACAATCCCAAAATAGCTGAATGTTTCTGTTACAATGATCAGCAATTAAAGGATTAACAATAGCTCATTTACAATGTAATTGTCATCATTAGGGTTCAGTATTAACAATCAATTGAAATTAATGGAGGTAGTCCACATCATTTTTAGAGCAATTTCAGGTGGTCTACCAGGGAGAGAAAGACACCCCTGCATCTGTTTGCGTTCACAAAATTAATGTTGCAATCATAAGGCCTAAAATTGTACACATTTCTGCATGTCTGGTTAGGGGAAAGAGGACAGGGGAAGTGTCATTTGATGGAAAATTGAAATTCTCCAGAAATATATGGTGCCACCAGAGAGGTGCATCAGGCAGAACCAGTTCAGTCTGAGACTTTAAAATATACGAAGTTGCAGAGTATTAACACTGTTCCTGTTGTATTTCTAGGAAAAAGACATCACTCCGGATCCTAATTTGTTAGAAAAAGTAAACGAATGTGCAAGGAATCTTGAGGTTATGAGAAGCCATGAACAGCCATTATCCCAGCTCACCCCTGAACTTTCTGACATCTTTGACTTTTTCATAGCATTGACTATTTGCAATACAGTTGTTGTTACCTCTCCAGATCAGCCACGGCAAAAGGTAGGTTAGAGAGACAGCAAAATGGAGTGTGAGTGTGAGTGTCCATTATGTTGTATTTGATTATCTCCGAGATGTGTAAATAGGAGACATAAAACTGTCCTTTCCTTGAAGGAAACAGAGATGTTTATGATACAATTCTTGGCACCAATTCATACATAAATGAGGAAAACAACATATACAAGTTTAAAATTAGTGATGAGGTAAAGCATTAGTTAAAAGGTAAAAAACCTGCCTCTGGAGATTTCCATTACTTGCATCCGAAGAAGTGAGGTTCTTACCCACGAAAGCTTATGCTCCCAATACTTCTGTTAGTCTTAAAGGTGCCACAGGACCCTCTGTTGCTTTTTACCAATTCAGACTAACACGGCTACCCCTCTGATACTAGTTAAAAGGTGTATTTCAACTGTTTCTCTTAACCCCAACAGATTATTTGTATGTAGTGCAATTTTTGAAGCCATTCTAAAACTGTTTTCCTTCCTGAGTTCACATACTGAAACTTCTTAAATAAACATAATTCGCATCTCTGGGCATGTTTTAGATTAATTTGTCAGAGTCCCCTGGAATAAGGAGCACATAGGCAGTTCTTTATAAATATTTTGCTTATATAAACTACATTTTTAGAAGGCTATATTATTTTTTAAAAATATTATAAAGAGGGTGTGCTGACAAAATCTCCTCTTAAATGTTGCAAATTATGTAAAAGAAAATTAATAATATACATTGGGCAAAATTATGACAGCTGATGATTTGGAAGACTTATGTACTTACAAAGTAGTATCATTTATTAATGAGAAGTGGAACAAAACACTCACCATCTAATGTATATCACACAAATATCATTAGACTTAATATTAGAGCTGGTCAGAAGCTGGAGTTTCCATTCCACAGGAAATACTAACATTTCTAAATTTGTTTTCTCTCTTAGCAGAAATGTCAAAATTTCCCACAAAATGAAAATTCCAAAGAATTTCAATTTGGACCCATTGAAACACTTTGTTTTGATGTTAAAACATTATAATATATAACATTAAATATCATGAATATAATATAATTGTAAATTAATATTTTAGTATAATATACAAGTCTGAACAAAATGAATTAAAATGATAATATCAGAATACAACATTTTACCTTATCAAAACAAAATGTTTCAACATTATCAAAATGAAAGAGAAAGTTGAAATGATTTGTTTCAACTTCGTCTGGTCTAAAATGGTGTTGAAATAGACACATTCCCATGAAACATTTAGATTTCATCAAAACTGCATTTTCCCACAGAAGTGTTCCATAAACATTTTTTCGACCAACTTTACTGAATACACACAAGTGGTATGTCTACGCTAGAGCTGGAATGTGTAAATTCCAATAGGAGGAGACATGCCTGGTTAAGCTAGTGCACTAAAAATAGTGGTGTAGCCACAGCATCACAAGTGGCAGGAGGAGCTAGCTACCCCAACTACATACCTATAGTCTCAGATGGGATCATACTCGGGGTGGGTAGCCCCTCCTGCTGCTCACACCAACATGGCTACACTTCTTACTCCCGGGGGAATTCTGCGCCAAAAAATTAAAAATTCTCCAACAAAATATTTAAGATACTGCACACAATATTTTCAAATTCTGCATATCTTATTTGTCAAAATAACATGATATAACCACACTAGTTTCAATTATTTTTGGTCATTTATTTCAAAATACCTATCAGTAAGTATGTCTGTAACAATACAGACAACAAAAAAGATTCGGGATGTATTTTTTGACAAATAAATTCGTTACTAGGCATATTAATACAGAACTCTGAGTAATAATTCATTTAAATTACAATACAGAACCATGTTTCCCACACCCCTCAGAAGCAGTGCAAAGGCTTGGTGGAGTCAGGGGTAATGGAGGAGCTGAGGGAGAGGGAAGTAATTGCTGGGAAGGAGCCTGGGTGTGAATTTGGAGCATTGCTGTGTATGGGTGGGAAAAGTATGGAACAGCTTTTTGCGGGGGGTGGGGAGCGGAGAGGGATTTTTAGGGAGCTTGACCCATGCAGACCCTGGCTGACCTCTAGCCTCTCCCATTCACTCAGGCACAACTGCCCCTGTCCCCTAGTGTCCCTCCATCCCCACTCAGACACCCACTCCCCCCATCTCCATATGGCGCTGCACCCCCTCCCCTGTCTGCAAGTGTCTGTGCCCCCATTCAGCCATCCCCCTCCCCACTGTAGCTCTGCACCCCCTTCCCATCCCCATGTGGCCTTGCACCTCCCTCCCCCCGTGGCCCTGCGCCTTCACTCCCATTCAGCCCCTACCCCAGACTGTCTTCCTTCACTAGCCCTTATGATCCCTTGTCTGACCCCCAGCAGCCCCACGCTGTCTGTCTCCCCATAGTCTCCGTCTCATGACCTGATCCGACAGGTGCTGTGGAGAAGGCACTGCAGCCTCTTTCTCTTCCCTAGCTGGCTGGGAGCTGCTGCTCTAGTCTATCACCACAGTGCCCTCTGATGGGCAAAATGCGGAACTGCAGCAACTTTCCAGCAGAAGCTTTTATCTGAGCAAAAAATTAAAAATATGTGTGGCTCATTAATTATGCACACATGCAGTGGCACAGAATTCCCCCAGGAGTAACTTCTATTTTTAACGTGCTAGCTTGATCAGAACTAGCAGGGGTATGTCTCTTCAAGCTGAATTTACACACTTAGACATACCCATAGAATGCAAAGGTTTTAGTTATATTAACATTATTTTGGGGTGCGATTCTAACATTGGTTCCACAAGGAAGGGTCAACAATAGTGTAAATTCTGAAGTGTATACATATTGGTTCCAGTAGCATTTCTGGTACAGTGTCAGCCTACGGATTTTTGGTCACTTACTTGTTCAGCTCTGATTGTCGTAGCTTTTTGCTACTGACTGAGATTTGCTTCTTACTTTGAGTTATCAAATGACAATGTCAGATTTCTTATATATCATTTTTTTTTGGTCGTTGGTTTTTATTTCTCAAGGTTAGAGTTAGATTTGAACTGAAGTCGCCGGTAAAGACCATAGAAGACTTCATTCGAAGATTCACTCCCAGTCGTCTGACCTCTGGATCTAACAGCAGCAGTTCATCAAGCCTGACTACCAGTAAATCAATGCCCAGAGTCGGTTCTAGTATTCTTTCATCTACATCCACTGAGAGCACTTTATTAAAACTGGAAGAGAAGTTGGCGCACTCTCCGCAGATGAATAACAATGGATATAGCTCACAGCAGGACAGAAGGGCTATAGGGAGTAGACCTGAAGAAGGAGAACTCCGTTATGAGGCAGAGAGTCCAGATGAAGCTGCGCTTGTCTATGCAGCTCGGGCATATAACTGTGCTCTGGTTGGAAGACTGTCTGACCAGGTATCAGTAGAGCTACCTCATCTGGGAAGGTTAACCTTTGAACTCTTGCACACACTGGGCTTCGACTCCATCAGAAAAAGAATGTCAGTGGTGGTTAGGCATCCCCTTACAGATGAAATAAATGTTTACACCAAAGGAGCGGATTCAGTTATTATGGATCTTCTTCTGCCCTGTTCTTCAGGTATAGTTCTCGCTTACTTTTTTTCCAATTAACTCTTAGACAGTGCTAGAGAACTTCAATCTCAGCATGTCCGATTGCAGTTCTCTAGCACAGAGCCATGTCTGTATCGTTTACGGGTATGCGGAAATATATTATAGCAGGACCTCTCTGCTTCTTTTATAAACTCAATAACCAGTAACTTCTTATAATGGATTGTTGGTACTTTGCCTAAAGAAATGTGAGTAATATTGATTTCAGTATGAGCCTTCCCAATGGCAAACCTTATTTTAAGTGAACATTTTTTAAGACCTTGCCAAATCAATTTACCTTTCATTGAGTACATTTTCCCAACATTGCTTGCTTACTCAGATGTTTCTGTATTAAGAGAAATGTTGTTTGGGTAATTACTAGTGGTCTTAGTTTTAAAGATGCAGATGATTAGTGATGAATAGACTTCTAACTGTGAACAGGAAGCTTATCTTTTGGAAGGTGTTTTTTCAGTTACAAAGTCTCAAATATGTGAACATGCTGTGAACCAGAAGCAATCTTAATGCCTCTTTATTATAATCAATTGGATTTAAAGACAACCTGGTCAGCTCTTATACACTTATTTGAGACCTAGGTTTTTCAGTATGTGTGATGTCTGATTTACTGTGTTCAACATTTTATTATGTACAACATTCAAATGTTAACCCAGTGTGACTGGACAGAAATCTAATGTATTACAGAGATTTCCGGTATCTCACTAGTGTGTTGACTTTATGGTTACTTTCACATTGCTGACGGCTGCTGCAGTAAATACCAGTGAAAGGATCATACTGTGTAATTTTCATTAAAGAGCTACAGGAAATGTTAATTTAGTGTCACAGTTCAGAACAACTGTCACATGTGCTTGGACAGGCTGGCCAAGCACACGTGCTTGCGTCCTCTTCAGAGAGAGTTAGCAGTGTGACTGCCCACAGTTATAAGTTACCACACAGCTCTTTCTAAGAAAGCCTACTTTGTTCTTAAGGTAAAAAGCATTACAGAGAAAACATATTAAAAACAATAAAGGAACCTATCTACCTGCTAATAAGCTTACTAGAGATCACCCCACCCCTTACATGGGCTCTGGCAGGAGCAATCCTTCCACACTCCTCGTAAAGGTTTTTGTTTTGGTTTCAAGTTCAGCACAAAGAACAGGAGTACTTGTGGCACCTTAGAGACTAACAAATTTATTAGAGCATAAGCTTTCGTGGACTACAGCCCACTTCTTCGGATGCATATAGAATGGAACATATATTGAGGAGATATATATACACACATACAGAGAGCATAAACAGGTGGCTATATTACAACAGAAAAACTTCAAAAACAGACTCCAACGAGAGACTGCTGAGCTGGAATTGATAATCAAGATAGCCC